GGAACTCAAGTTTCAAGGACACGCTCGCGACAACCCTCCGCTTTAATATGACGAGCACAAAGAGAACTTAACGGGGACTGTGTCATTTACAATGACTTCTTATTTTTATTTTAGCTAGATTAATTTTCAATGATTTTTGGTTGAATGTATGAAAAGAGGTATATTCCCTACATTTTATTTTCATTGCATCCTCCCTTCAGCAAAAATAGCAAAAATAAATTCCAAGTTAAAATAAATTAGTTTACAGTCTCAGAAGTATGGATCTGTATGAATTCTCCTATTTTGTGTAAGATAACTATATTACATGCTTACTAAATAAATATTACTAATTAGTTATTCAACCAATCACAGACGTGACAAGATTTTATGTTGCCATGGTAACTAAGGTACATAACCTAGTAACATGTGTTGACAACACCTGGTGTTGAACCTGGAATGTACTGTTGTTTTTATTTCATTGTTTATGTCTAGTCATATATAATTAGATCACATATTGTATCTTCACTGATTCTTCACCATCTTTTCACAGATTCTCCCCGGATACGACAGCAGGATATTTCATTTGCATTGACTGCCATATTGTATGCGCTGTTACCACCCAAACCACCTCCTAGAGTTGGTGTTCATTCCTCAAAACATGCATACCCTTCCATTACTGATTTACCAAGCCATACCAGTGTTTCCTATCATGAGACATCTATCGTGTTGCAGGAATCACTTTACGAGGCTGCATTCTTAGGTATGTGGAGTCCTCGGTTGAATAGATCAGTAGATTTTTTTCAAACTTTTCTTTGATTTTTTTAATTTTATTTCAGCAAAGTAGATATACTTTGATGTGCTTGTTTAATAAGAAAAGTATGTAGGTTTCTTATTTCATGAAAGAATAAAGCTAACTATAAAACATTAATCACTACAGTATAACAAAGTAAGAGCAATTGGATATATTTGGTGAATGAATTATTGATATAGAATCCAAATAGATTCAAGTGGTCAGTGAGAGGATGCCATCACATCTCTTATTTTAACGATTATGAACTCATTATGTACATTTTTAAAGGAGGATTAAACATTAATACACCCGTTTATAAATTTACAGCTGACATTTGGACACAAATATTGAATAATTGGAGCAAATATCGTCATCTACACTGCATGCCAGGTGACTACCAGTTGCATTTTGGTGACACTGGTTTCAGTCAAAATGTGAACCACATTTGTCTACTTACTGAGCAATGTATATACCAACATGACGCTAGCACATTGGCTCAATTCCAAGTTTTGTTGATTTAACAAATTAGTTTTAACATATTGCAATTCGTAAAAACTGCATTGAAAAACATTTGATGAAATGGAAAGATTTTCCATTGGAATAAATCGCAAGTACCGGTACAATAAGTAGTGAATGAATTTATGTCATAACTGTAAAACAAGATATATACTCTGCTTCTCTCACATGGGTTTGTTTGTACTTCGTTTTTTGTTTGTTTTTATGTAAAATGTGTTTTGATTTTATTAACTGAAAAAAACACAAAAAAAACAACAATACTGAATAATGAATCAATGAGTTCAACTGTAAGTATTGCTGTCTTGTCCCCTAAGTTTTAAAACTGTCCTCAATTAAAGTTTTATAAAATATTATTATTATTACTTTCAGGTTTGAAAATAATGATTGTATGTTTTGAACGACAATTGATCAATGATTGGTACAGAATTACGAATGCTGTCAAAGATCTAGGAACAAGAATGATGGGTAATTTAATGCTACACTATCAACTTTTATACAAATTTTTTTGCCTCTGAGAAAATCTCCTCAAATTTGAAGACATGTATGTTTTTGAAAACTTTATGTTCTATCAAGGGCTCACGTATTTTACCTCAATAAAATACTGATCTGGTGCGCCTTTAATGTATGCACCCAATTAGAGTTGGGGTAGATTATAGAAATGAAAATGAAAAAACAAAAGTGTTGGATGTCAACTTGCCAAAGAGGGTGCACTTTAAAACACATTGGCTGACAGAATCTGCCAGGATTTTGTGATGAGGCGGAAGCTAAATAAATAGGCCTTAGCTAGTGAGGATGCTCAAAAGACAACCAGGTAGTTGTATTTGTTTTAGAGGTATGCTTCTAATTTAGGAAATATAATAATGTCTTAACATGTTTGGTTTTCAGGTGGTCCTGCTTTGTGGAGTTTTCTGGATTTTATCGTAACCTACCGACCACCATTGTATGTTATATTAGAGCCATTTATTCACAGCAAGGTAAAGTCATTTAATTGTACTGTATATAATCTTGATTAAGATTTGGTTGTTGACTCAATACAGTTTTTTACTTCCCCAAGAGAAAATGATTATTTCAGTTAACCTTTCCACCACCAGTTTCCTCTTTTCATCAAAAATTCACAAAATAGTCCCGTTTATAGTTTGCACTTTTCTTCAGAAGATTGGGATAAAAATAGCCAAATTTTTTTAGTAAAAACTGAAAATTTACTCAATTTTTGTCTGTTGGCTTCAAAATTATGGTTCATTTCCAGAAATACCCGGTATTGAGTTATTAAAAAGGGCAGACAAATTTGTGTGAGAAAGTCTGGTGGTGAAAAGGTTAATGTATAATTATTTACAAATAAGTCAAATGTTAATTATTAGTATGCCATAAATTTTTCAACAAAACCATTTTTCACATTTTTAGCATTTTCGATATTTTCTTGACTTGATCCAAATGGGCATACTTTTCCATTGCCAACAAGACTTGAAAAATCAGAAAAGAATTATTGGAATTTATTCTGTGAAAGGGACAAAAGTCTTTGGCTATTCAAAAGGTTAAATGAATATTATTATTCGTCAAAAAAGTTCAGTACTTATTCTTATAATTCTATGTAATTCTTAAAAGAGATCCTGAATATCTGGTTACAGTTTGTTTTTCTTTTTTTTCTTCAATTTGTCATGACAGAATAACATTTCATGTATCCATTTAATCTAAAAATAGTGCATATTTTAAGCCCTTGTTGCGTGGCACAAAACAAGTGCTTAAATTGACCTATGTCTGATTGTGAATGTAGAGGTTATTTTACAGCAGTACACATGTAGATTTCAACCATAGTTGATATGAAAATCACACATAGTAGGTTGCTGTGGCATGCTGTTTCATGATTACCAGTAGAATCACTTTCTAGCTGTGATTGTTCTTCTTTGTTGTCGTGTCAAATTTTAACTTTTTCAACTTCTTCTTTTGACTTCTTGTTAAAAATCACAAGTCTGAGGATACACGTGTCCTCAATTCTTTAATTTTGATGAATATTTTTGTCATTTTTGGTAAAAAGTGATATTTTCGACTTCTTATTAAAAACCACAAGTCAGATTGCTTTGATATTACTGGTATACATAAAGGTACTACAGGTGGACCTCTCTTGGATTTTTTCATTTTGTAATGATATCGTCAATCCTTCAGCTGAATATATGTGCATTGCTAAGAGCGGAGATATCTCAGTCGAGAGGCTGCTTGTCTGTTGAATATTTTAGTACATATATATAATTAAATTAATGAAATATTTTGGTCTAACTTGCAATAACTTGTTGTTTCCAAATACAGATGTTGCGAATGATATGTGAAACAGATGCAGAGGCCGTAATTCAGTCCAGGATATCTGAGAAACTACGAGGCCACTACCGACCAACGCCAAAGTGTAAAGGAACTTTACTGACTGAACTCTGCTATGAACTTAAAGATCTCAAGGATAATATGTTCTTACCGAGAGGTTTGTTTGAATTCACCTATTATGGTATTTGTTACAATTCAAATCCACCAATCATGATATCTGTTACAATTCAAATCCACCAATCATGATATCTGTTACAACTCCAATCCACCGAACATGATATCTGTTACAATTCTAATCCACCAATCATGATATCTGTTACAATTTAAATCCACCGAACATGTGGCTGATTTGTTAACATACACATTTTTGTTGATTTCAGATCATGTACGTTTTGCCAATGAAACCACCACTGGCCGGGCTGCGCATTTTGCTGGCGATGGAGCTGAGACAACTACATCACCAAGGCACACACGAACAGGGTCTTTTGTCAGTCGATTGACTCGTAAAGCTAGCAGTAGGAAATGTATGTACTGGTATATATTTCAAATCACATTTGTTTATTGTTTATTAATAAATTTTTTTGTTAGAATCCATTGAGATCAAAGGTAAAATCACCAGTTATTCCAATGGCAGCCATTCTCAAACTAAATTATATTACAGTCATTCAGTAACTGTAATTTTTCACCTTTTTCACCTCCCATTTTTTACACCAAATAACCATATTGTACCCTATAATACTACCTAAAACGGCATGGACCACCATAAAATGTCAGTAGAATATGTACTTTGAACAAAATTGCTCTCTGTGTGTCCAAAATACTAGGGAAAGCATCAGTTTCACTCCCTTTTTAACCAAAAATAATCATATTGTACCCAAAAATACTATATAAAACTGCAAAAACTGAAATTGTAAGCCCTCTTTAATAGGGGAAACCATTTTCTATTTTAAATATAGATCATTTTAATTGCCAAACAAAATATAGTATAAATATTACTTCTTAATCTTTTGATCATTTGTGATTGTTTTTATTTAGCCCGCTCATCAAGAAGAGGTTCAAACCATAGTCACGAAGGAGAAGCAAATCGCCACCGGCAACAATCTTCGTCACCGCCACCTTCAGAAATTCCTGCAGCAGAAGCAGCCCCAGTACCAATACCACCTGCACCATTATCTCCAAAAAATCCCAATGAAACTAGTCTACCAAACAGTAGATATGGCAGGCAAAGCATAATCCGACGAACAGATCAGCCAGTGGAAGGCGAAACGTCAGCATTCAACACAAGACGACTGACACGAAAACACAATGTGACAAAACGCATGAGTAGGAGAGTCATCACGAGAACAGAACAAATACATGATCAGCATCATGAACCAGTGCAGCCTCCGCCTCCACCAAAAAAGCCAAAGTCACCAGAACCAGTTGTAGCATTTTCACCTCTACCCCTCAGTAGACAGCCAAGTCAGAAAAGTACTGTGGAGGACATCATAGCTGGTGAGTTGTCTAAATTAAGTGGGAATCAATCCAAATTAACAATGAGCTTCACTCATTATTTATCCAACTCTGTACTTGCAGTGAGAATTACTTGCGTATTATTGGAAAATATTTTTCAGAATGGCAAAGTGTTTGTCTGTCTGTTTTACTGGTATTACACCTTGTCAGAACATAATGAATTTTAGTTCCTTTGTGATAATTAGTCTGCTGAGCTGGTCAGTTTGGGGTTGAAAGCCACTGATTTAATTTTTTACTAGTATGCCTGGACAGTGAGATTGGAGAATTTAATTTCTATCCCATAAATAATCATACTGCATGATTTTTGCAGAGTCTCCTGATGGTGACCTTGATGGGGACGGAGATGCAGCACATAGCGCTAATGCCACTTGTGGTGGCATCACCAATCAAGTACCTTCACAAACGCAAGACAGTGTAGACAAATCAGATACTGAATCTGTTGACGAACAAAGCCATCTGCTCGGTTCCGAATCCACAAAGAGCGATCGTGCCAAGATGATATCCACTGACATTGGTGAGGGTATGGACGATCTTTACGAGTCTAAGGAAACCATGCGATTGCTGGGACGATCAGAGTTGGATCCGAGAACGTTGAGAATAAGGATGTCTGATCTTCAAGATGAGCTGAAAGATACAGTGGTTTAATAACAGTATATTGAAATATTTCATTATTAGGAAAGGAGGCTAATATTAATAAATATACATTAATTTAATAACTGCAACTTTGGAATATTTTACTGTTAAGTTAATGATACACTGGTATATTAACATCCTTTGGAATATTCCAGCATTGCGGGAAGGGACATGAGGCTAATATTGTTAAAGATACAGTCATTTAAAATAACAATATAACTATGGAATATTCCATTATTATGGAAGGGGAAAAGCTAATTGTTACAGTCAATTTACAATATGTTACAAAAAAAAAAACACACAATTTAAGTGAAAACAATTTGAAAAACAGGTATTTATACAAAGTTTGTGATTCTATTTTGCCAATGAATTTCAAATGGTTGAGCGACCAAGAACCAAAAACTAACAGTATAGAAAGAGTACAGTTTTAGAAGTTATTTATGATTCCAGACCATATCGTATTGACAAAAAAAAAACAATTTTAGTATCAGTCGGTGCATTGCCCATATTTATGGTAGATATAATTGTAGCATGTATATAGGTATTTTGTATAGTGCTGGCATAATGGCGTCCGATTCACTAAACAGAATTATTGTAGTGTACTGAACCATGTTTTACAGCATACTGCCATTTGAATGTGACGACCAGAAATTCAAAACTTCAGGATGGATGTTAGATTTTAGTTTTGTTTGACAGTGCCTCCAATCAGGGATGGTGTATATGAGTAGACTGCATTTCCTTGCATTTCCCACAATGCATTGCATTATATATAACACACTACTGTAAAATCTGTATTAGAAACCGCGGCTTCTATCAAAATGGTACAATGCAATAGAGGGGATGCGGCTTCTATTAGAGCATCTACACATACTCAATTATTCAAAAAGAATGGGTGCGACTTCTATTAGGGATGTGGCTTCTAATACAGATTTTATGGTATATTGAGTAGTTCCACAGACATTTTCCGTGTTCTCCATTTTCTCTGGAAATCGTTTCTGAAATGTTGTAGCTACCCAATAATTTTATTTTCACTGTATTACAATATTACTGTACAGTTGAAGTGAGTGATTTTTGATTCTTTAAGATGAATTTATCTTGCCCGTTATTCAAAAGGAACATGACTTTTTATTTGCCATGAAGTATTGCTATGAATTGTGGGATAGCTGAGAAAATTACAACTTCCTGTTTATCAGGTCCATGTTTGTTAATGATTTGAATGTCAGTGTTGATGTTATTTGAATTGTTAGTATACACAATTTGTATGTATTACAACCCTCCCCCTATGTCAATTGGTTTGTCCCTGATATGTAGCCGATTATAATTGTGAGAAGGTTTCAAGTGAGCTTACTATGTAGCAGTCCATTTTATTATGTAGGGTAGTAGGCTACTTTGCTTATGGTGCCATTTTGACAACATGGAGAATGTATATTTAATTTAAATCTCCAACCCCATCAATCCAATGGTATAACCCAGACTTCCCAGTCTTTGGTTCAAACCATTTTCATGAGGGGAATTACCAGTCAGGAGTTGAAGAATAGTTTTATAATGAAAAGTAGAATTCTGAATTGTAAAGAATAATTTACAAACTATTTTTGTAGTTTACAATTTGACGAATCACAGTCTGTGAAATTGGTCACGTGATAAACTCATGAATATTCATATGGGTCAAAATATGAGATATTTTTTGTATCAATGTTTACATATCCCCTGTGGTGCTAGGTATATATGGGATATTACAATATATAGTATTGATGTAAAAAAAATAAATGTTTAATTATTATATGAATTGATGTGCTTTTTGTGCCATCTTGGAATAATTTGTAAAGTTTATGTATATTTATAAATACAACAGTGTATCACAATTTTTTTTAACTTGTGTTATTGAGTTAGATTTGAGAAAAAAAAAAACTTTTTGGCATGTTTTCATCATTGTCTTTTTGTCACAAGCTTCTTGGAAAAAATATAGCTTCATGATGGGGTGTTTCTCACACAGTTATAAATGGTATGTTTAGGGTCTTCCATCAAGAGAATTATCCCGCTTACATCGCCACCCCTTTGAGCCAAAGCCAATGCCCATATTGGGGGGGATTATAAAGTCAAGAATCAGTTCTTTTCATAGAACAACTGTTCTATGTTGATGTTATTCTTTTCTGTCGTCTGCTTCACATATTTCAGTTCAGAATTAAGATAACATTAACACATTTGTTTAGCTAAGGTAACCGCTGGCAACGACTTATGGATTTGTTGGATACTGGTCAGAATCTCTGACTCAGTACAACCTTTAAAGGGTCATATGCCATAATTTCATGATGTTAGTTTTGTATTCCTGTTGCATCTGATAAGATGTATTCTGTCCAATTTTTTGTACGATAAGTTTTGAAATTTAATAAAGAAAGTTGAATAGACATTATCTAAGTACAACTTTACAATATAAGTTCATTGTAATTCACTATTACATTACATTACATTATAAGTTCATATTATATTACATTATAAGTTCATATTATGTTCCTGTAAGTACATAATAAGTTCATTATATGTTTCTAAAGGTACAATATAAATACATTATAAGTCCTTATACGTAAAATATAAGTTGATTGTGAGACATAAGTTATTAAAAGTTCAATAGAAATACATTATAAGTTTTTTTTTAAAGTACAAATACCGGTAAATACTGGGTAAATAATAAGTTCTTATAAATTCTTTTAAGTACAATGTAACTGTTTGGTTATCTATAGCGACAATTAATTCAATGGAATATTTTTCAAAATTAATTGTTCCCGTATAATATGCAAGTTCAGTTGATAACGTTCATTCTTCCTATATACAAGTACTTGCCAAAACACTGTGCTAATTCCAGAAGCCAAAGATCAATAATGCACACGACATGAATATGCAGTACTACATTATATAGAGAAGGCTCTGTATCACATGTTTAGAACAGTGAAAGCCAAATTGTTTAGCACTGTATTTTAATCAGGACACTTAAATCAGGAATTATTTCTTTAAAGAATGGTTAGTTTTTTACGTATTTGAATCCTGGCATGGTATACATTCTTTCAATGTGTTGCAGGCATCATTGAGGGACTCTAGGTGTTTCTATTCAAAACGTTGTTTGGGTCTTCATCTATTTAAAATCTGATGTATCTGAAATAAAGTGTGTTAGAAAATTACTCCCATACACAAAAGAATTCAGTGAAAGCCAATGAAGCATTTATTTTTTAAATTATTTTTTAACCAAAATATTATTTTTATGAAGCTTGTGCAATGACATCATAGATTTGACGGATTATTACAGTCTGATTGATGGTGGTAGCCAATCAAATCCTCTCATCGTGATTTGAATGACACTAGTGTAAAATTACAACAGTTCAGTTTATAAATATATTTATAAATATAAATGTGCCTTTGACTGCATTTTCGTTTTTATGAGCTCAAATTAAACCTCCTAAATATCTAATAATGCATGCTTTTTAACGAAAGAAATACAGTACTCTAAAATGCAGGGTTCCATGGATTATCATGGCTATTCTAAGTACTGTCACTATACCCCGGCCCAGTCTTTTATGTAAATATTATTTCATTCATTCAATTTATGTGATCCAACTTTTCTACAGTTGCACACAGTGTGAAATTAAACAAATTGCCAAATGTTTTGATTGTAGTTCTACATCAAGGCTTATGTAGTGCGTCTTCCATAGACCATTTTTTTTTTTTTTCATTTACATGATGTAAGTATCAACATGCTTCAGTCAAAGGGGACCATTTAAATCGTTTTGTAGTAAGGCATTGTATGTACATTATGTATTCAATTTGTGACTTAAATAAAACTGCTTGTTGCTATTGCACTATTTACTATTTTTTGTTGGCTGTGACAATTCTTGCCATATTCCTTATTGCTATAAATAAAGTCTAAAGTTTAATTATTCTCTGTCTAGTGTTAATTTCTCTTATTATAAATTTTTGTCTGGCGTTGTTGTTTCATCGTCGTTAATAATTGTTATTGTGTGCACAATAACTTTACTAATTCTATTCCAAACTTTATAAAACTCTGTTACTTTGTTCATCAAAGTCTTCCCTGAGTATGAACAACAGATGTCCTGTATGAAAATATGCAAAAATTGAGAAAATCTGATAAAATACACATTCAAAAGTCACTGATCTCAGTGGAAATATACATTGGTGTCTGTGTTCAATGAAGCAAATCAGTTATCTTGTAATAATATCGTTGGTAATGTATCTCCCAAATATTATGGGAATACTAGACTGGGCTTCAAAACCAACTAATGGAGAGAGTTTTTGCACAGTCTGATACCCATTTGCAAACCTACAATAAAATCTTTACAGAAAACAAGATGTCAGAAAATTAATATAAGCAAACTTTGATCAAGATCTGAAGCTAATAGAAAATCTGTTTAGTAGTCCAAAGTTATCAAATCAAAAATAATACATAAAAAGCAAAATGTTGCATCCACATTTTGAAAAGAAAATTGTACACAAAAATAGGTATTCTGTATTTGACAAACAGTTCATTCGACAAATGAAAATTCACAGGAATTTGTGTTTCAGCTATTAGAACAGAATGATAGAGCTTTTATAATAATAGTTTAAAAACACACTTTAAAAACAAAGATTGCAGTGTTTGATGTAGATTCTCAACAGTACTGTTGACTTCTCTCTCCGCTGGACACCAACTAACTATTTAAGTTGATTTGCATACAAAGCAGAGCTTGCAACATGATAGCTATTCATAAAGGGCGTATTTTTTTTTTACTTTTCAATTAATACAGTAGTCACACAATGAATAAAATAAGGCAGTTCATATTTGTCTCAGTGAATTATTAAATT